GGTTGGCCTGGCATATCGTACGTATCGGCTAGCGCCTGCTTTGTTTGGTGTCTACTGTGGCTATTCTTTGGTTATGATAATGCGCCGTCGGCACGCTTTATAACGCCTGAGGAACGTCAGTATATCGAGTCCGATCTGATGCGTGAAGATAATTTCCATAAGCAGAATATACCGGTGCCATGGTTGGCGATCTTCACTTCGGTGCCATTCCTCAGTCTGCTGGTGGTGCGCTGTGCACAAGCTTGGGGCTACACRACGCTGCAAGCGCAGATACCCTCCTACATGGCGGGCGTATTGAATATGGAGATAAAGAGTAATGCGCTCTTCTCGGCATTGCCATATATGGCAATGTTTTGCTTGACTTTCGTATTTCTCTTCAGCGCCGATTTCGTCATGACCAAAGGCTTGCTTACGCTAACGATTTTGCGTAAAGTGTGCAACACGATCGCTTTGTGGATACCGGCCGGCTTAATGATTGCCATTGGTTTTCTGGATGAAGAACAAAAGACGCTGGCGATTGTGCTGATGATCTTGAATGTCGGCTTTAATGCGGGCGCTACAATTGGCAGCACCTTGAATACGATCGATCTGTCGCCGAATCATGCGGGTGTGCTGATGGGCATTGTCAATACGATTGCCAATTTTGTGCCAATCGTCACCCCTTTGCTGGTYGGCGTCATTGTAACGGATGAGGTGAGTACTGCTATACATACACATTGTGGTTATAGCTTTAACCTTTATCTCCTCTCTCTTTCAGCACGATCGCGCGCTTTGGCAAATTGTTTTCATTATTTCAGCAGCAATTTTCTTCTTTGGAAATTTGGTTTATATTATATTCGGCTCTGCGTTAACGCAACCATGGGATGCACCCGGCCTTTTTGACGCGTGATAATGTGGAGAGTTACCAAACCGATGCTTCTAAGTCCGAATTGAATAGCAGTCCGCTTACTCRGAGCACAGTGCAGTTGGTGAAAGCAGAAATGCCACGGATAGAATTCACGTATAATGGCGATGAAGGTGTAGACAACGATGGTTTTGGCAAGCAGCAGGTGAAACATGACTAACGGTTATCATAARTATGTTCTGGAATAAATGTGATTTCATATTTGTTTTCCACTCAGACTAATTAAACATTTAAGTCAATTGAAAATGTGAGCTATCTTTTAAAAGCATTTAATCATCTTAAGACGACTTAAATGTAGTGCTAACATAATTATAATGTATTAACTATATCTTGAATAGGAAATAATATAACTCGTGTTGTAAATGAGTATGTCTAGAACAAGTTATTAAATAATCTAACAGTGACATGATTTTTTTTTTTTTAATTTACCAGTAGACTGTGTGAAAACGTCTGCAGTAGCAGTCACTACTCTCTGTGTTGATCTGAAGTCGCGCCTGYCAATGCGTGTAGTTATGGAACTCAAATATTTGCTTTCATCTGTCTARCTGCAGCTCATAAACCAATTTATTATATTTTTATCGAGCTAGAGAAGTCGTTTACTATATTCTTGTATGGCATAGTCTTTTATTATAATTCCGATAAGATTGAGGTTGCTAGGAGTGCTATCTAAATTGCAGCCACTAAATTTGRATTGCTCAAATAGTTCGTGATTGTGAAAAATAAGCAAATCATTCATATATCATCATATTAGAAATGCAAACTTATTTAACAGTTTCASTTTGTTTGATTATAAATAAATAAAATATAAAATATAAATAAAATATGAATTTCAAGGGCAAAACACGATCAAAATATTTTTTTTTAATTGGTGACATTTTTTATATGTCTGATATTTTTCAGTCGCGTGTCATTGAATGGACAACATCTTCCAATTTCATATCTTTTTGAGTTTTATCCACTGTCCAGAAACACTATAGCACTGGAAARTCATAATTTTAGCGGCTTCAAGATCGCGTGTAACTCGAATAATTTTATTTTTTGTTCTACAAAGCGAAGAGAGTGCAACTTAACAATAAATAGAAAATATTTTTTTATATAATTTTTTTTTTTATAAACTTCAAGAGCTATGTCTACCAAATTTAGTATTTTCTGACCCTAAATTTCCTACTACGATTATTTTACGARTAATAAAGCTTTGACTCTCTAAAAAGTTACACCGAAAAGCGAGCAGTGGCATCTGAAAAATCTGCTTAAAAATGGTCTCATTATGATCAGCGACAAAGATTACTTCTTAACTGGTATATAAAGCAGAAATAATACAACTATTGTCGGACTTCTGATTCGAACTGTTTTGAAGGCACTCTATTGTCGAATGCTGKTTGCTTATCGGAGGCATTATACTACTCTAAAAACGGCTATGAAGACCACTATATCATTAGAATATCGGTTATCTTTTAAAACTAAATAAAAATTTTTTAGCTCCACATAATTCCAGAGTTGACGTTAGAGAGCATTTGCACGWTCCTCCGGTGACCAAATAATAAAAGAGATAATGTGATGCAAAAATGGTACAATATTGTAACGAAGGTTAATCTTCGATGGAAAAACAGTTATCAAAAAATAATACAAATTATARAYAAGCAGTGAATAATGAAGATCTCAGATGCTATTTTATAACMTTTTATAAACACAGGGTAGTCGCAAAAGTCTTTTCGTATTTCTAATCAAACTTCAGCTAATTTTTTTATTTATAACAACAAATAAATAAACAAATATGTACCATTTTGTCCACCACTTTTTGGCATTTTTCTTCTAGAAAAATTTTTCCATTAGTGTTAATTCTAATTTCGAAATTTCCAGACCGGAAGGTGGCGAACCATTGTTGTGATATACGACTGATACGGCATCGTCTCCGTAAACTTCASAAATTTCACTGGTGGATTTTCGCTTTTTTTTTTACAAAATTTCAAAATATATCAAATTTTTTTATGATTTTCACACATTTTTGAACAGCTGTAACTTTTTTCTAAAATTCTCCAAATTTAATTTTTTTTTGGTTAATTAAAATCTTAAAATCTCCACTTTCCAACAGTATATGATAAGATACAACGCACTGGAGATATACGACTACAAAGAAATCTATTGACAAGATGCGAAAAGATTTTTTTCTGATATAAATATGTATATAAGATAATTTATATAAAAAATTGCTCCAAGTCAAAGATAGAGAGAGAGAGAGATTGGGCAGTTCCAATTTCAAATCTATAAGGTAAATAAATGGTCTTCCAACAACACCGCGTTACGATGTAATGAAATAATCATGGCGGCATTTGACTGGACCGTCGTCCAACGTAATCGGCAAAGCGGCGGTGCTTCAAATAGTTTTTTGGTTTCAGTGCTTGTGCCAGCACAATCTCCTATAAATGCGTTGTCCAACCACAAAATTTGCTATGTTATCATTGGAGAGAACCCAACCGCGCAGAACGACGTTTAACCGACGAAACGAAAGTGACATGAGGAAATGGCAAACTTTACTGAACACATTGATCAAATTTGATATAAATCCATAAAAACACATGTCCGTTACGTTGTACTTATTAGTAGGCGCTGTACATGTGATCAAATTTTACTCGTACTAACAAAAACAAAAATAAAAAAATTTTCTGTATTTTAGTAAAACTATTTATTATCATCGCCTTAAAAATGAGCTCCTTTGGAGCCAGTATAAGTTTAATTCAATTTTTTTTTATAAGCCTCGCCTGGAATAGCCTCCAATTTAGCCAAATTTGATTTTTTCTATTTCGCTTGATTTTTAAAGTGCCGTTCCCGARAGTGTTGTTTTCGACGTCATGTCCATAAATGCCACCAGCGATAAYTCGTTAAGTGGATCTCTCTGAGATGTTGAGGTCCACTGCTATCTCTCCSGCGACAACACGACAATTTTCAAGCACTCTTTCGTTAACTTTGTCGAGGTTATTACCATTAAAAGATGTAGACTGACCTGGTTTTGATGATTTTACGGCTTTCACGGAATGGTTGGTGMCACTCAAATACTTATGTTCGTTATAAAGTAGACTCTTCAAAATGTTTCTGCAATATTTTAATGATTTCATATCAGCGATTTCATTGGAAAAGCAAARTTTCGAAAAGGTTCGTTGTTCCATTTTTTCCATGGTAAAAATCGCCAGTCAAACTTATCACGTCGTAACCACTTATCTGTCAAACACAAGCCAATTGACTGTTACAGATGAAAATGCACACATTTACRTTCGTGTTTAAATGTTGTATAATTCCAGGAAAATTTCTTTACCAATTTGGTTCGCGCGCGTATTTGAAATGGACCAGTTCGAGTCAAGCTTGCAAACTGAATAGTCAAGTGAATAAGTTTGCTTTTGCTTTCACTTGTAAAATTGTAGACGAGAGAAGAGAGGGCAAACAGAAAAAGCATAAAAATATTTGTTAAGTAAAATATTTGATTAAAGAAAAAAAGAAAATTAAATTTTCGGCGCTATGAGTATTTTCACGTGACCGAAATACTACAAGGCGCAAAAATTTCTTTACTTATTTATATTTATTCATTGATTAGGCAGAAAGTAGCTAAAAGTATAATAAAAATGGGAGCAATATCATTTATTCACGCCTAAAAGTATACTCTCAGTTTACTTATGGCTTTTTCTCTAAAGGCTGTACATTTAAATTTATTATCATTATATAGTACTTGTATTATCTATCAATAATCTAATCTTACTGAGAGTGGTATATTTGTATGACAACATACACGTGTGCATGCGAACAATTCAACTCATAATTAGACTCATTACAGCTAGTACTTGTTTTTATAATTGTTTATTTGCAGTARTTGAAAAGTATAAGTGTTTACAACAGAACTGTAAAGTGCTTTGTCAACAAAGGTATTTTCTCCTTTTGCGCTGCGCTGTAAAATATGTCTATGAGTGTCGCGAAGAACATGTGCGAGCTCAGACAATGACATTGTAAGAATTGCGATTGTTTTTTTTTTTTTTTGTTTTGCATTTCCATACAAATTTTTTTCAATTGGGACACAGCTGTTTACTGGCTTCTCCGTTTGCATTCCGCACATTGCCTTTTCAATTCACTTTTTATGCAACACAACTGCGTTYAGTTGCGGCAGAAGTTGCAGCATCTAAAAATAAATCGTTGCTGCTAGTGAATTTGTGCGTTAAGTCTTTTCATGTTGCCTTGCAGTTACTCAAGCTTTGGACTGACTGTAGAACGATCACGTCGAACTGGTTTCCCCACAAGTGTTAAGCAAGTGAAGATAACAACAAAGCGCTTATTTGTGGCAGTTAGCGGCGACTGGCATAACAGTTTGGTGTTGCAAATTTGTGTGTAGTTTCAAAGAACTTTTATTTAGAATTATGTTGAAGAATATTTTATTAAGAACCTGATATAATTGCAAAATGGTGACAAAATCGTTCGACTTAATTCAAAATGGCAAGTGAAAAGTTGTGGGTAATTAACTACAAACTTTTGGTTTCCYTTAATATTTGGCAGTGTGGTAATATGCGTGGAAGTGGCAAGTTTGTGTCCAAACTCTTTTGTGTTTTACTTTAAATGCAGAGCTTTCCACTAGAAAAGCCCTTGACCGTGTTCAATATAATAGAAGGTTTGGATATTTTTTCATTTTGACAATAATCAAGGCGTTAGWTATACAAATGAATTATGAGTAGAGAAATATTTTGGATATAAAATAAATAAATGTTATTTCAATTTGTTGAATAAGTGACCGGTTCATATAAACTGCGCTCAGAAATCGAAATCATGTTTTTTATCTATATTTCATTTTTTCTACATTGATATAACCTTTTGTAATGTTCGTGTGAAGTTTGAACTCCCTAGTAAGTGTGTGTTTGACAGCATTTTGTTTATCCTAAAACCCGCCGCAAAGYTTGTCTAGCGATTCATGGAAAAAATTGAACGTCGAATTTGCTTGAAATTGTGAATTGAATGAAATGATGGCTACGGAATCAGTGAAAATGTTGCAGAAGTGTTTTGKGAAGGCTGCCGTAACAATTGCACAAGTTTGTCACACAAAGCAAATAGCGTGCGGTTTTCGAAAAGTTTTCGAAAGCTAGCCTCATGGAAGTGGTCYCATTGTCGTTAACGACAACAATATCGAAAAAGTTTAAGAAATAGGAAAATCATCGAGTTGACATCACAAAGACACCTGAAGATCTCAAAATATCTTATGGATCGAATTACAATTCTATACACTATTCAATACCGCAAAAAATATATACATTTTATAAATCTAAATTTGTGAACTGATGAGTTAATACAGTTGCCTAAAGTCTTCAAAGTGAAATTTTATCAATCGTCTTCCCCCATCTGCATATTTCTAAACATTTAATGTCTATAAACACTGCCAAATACTATGAAAAAGTCTCTGATAGTTTTGATAGCTTCAATAGAAAGTTTTCTAACATAAGTTTAATATCTTCCAGGCTTCATAATACCTGCGCGCTATATCCAAGTGCTGTTGATGTTCACCGCAATCCTATTGGTATTCTATCAGCGGGTCAATTTGTCCGTTGCCATTGTTGTGCTTAACAAATTAAATGGAACAACAGGCACCACTCAACCACAATTTGTAGGTACAAAAACAATAATTGTTTAAGATGAATATAGTTTGGAAAGTCGGTGATTTTTCACCAAATCAAAAGTGTTAACGCTTTTTTACTCGCCTCCAACTATATATAATATTCTGAAAAGACACTGAGCAACTATAACTAAAAGATGATAAAAAAAACAAGAAACACGTTAAAGTCGGCTATACCGAGGCTAATATACCTTTCACAGGTGCATTTTTTACTGAACAATTTCTTCGGAGTGAATATATCTTGTCAAATGAAAGAGTTTTCCATACAAGAACTTGATTCCGATCGTTGGGTTTGTATGGCAGCTGTATGTTATAGTGGTCCGATATCGGCTGTTCCAACTCGTGGCTAGAGTACGRCCTTGTCGACGTAGGGCTGACAACCCACTCGGCGGAAATAATTTGTCAAGAAAGCAACAAAAGTGCCACGGATAATAACCCAAAACAACTTTGTCTGAAGRTCACACATGCGAAAAGCTCACAATGAGCTGCAGCGCTTATGCTTTTYGGCYAAGTTTATCTACTAGCTTTGAWTAATATCAAAGCGGGAATTGCCGAYGCTTTATGGAAATATTCATCAAATATTCCTGAACCCCGGACACATCTGTGGAGAATTTGAGCAGAAAAAAGTTTTGACATTTTTGGTTGTTATCTTTYCACAMATTTTATGTCAAATAATAGGTTTTGYATTTAGATGATAACCTACCTATAATATACCGACTTAACAAACTATTCTCTATTCGTAACTTTATCAAAGGACTACKCATCTTTAACACCACACCAGCGCTCCAGCATGTTGGGCAGCGTATTTTGGGGCACCTTCTCAGTACAACTACTCAGCGGCTACTTGAGTAGTCATTACGGCACAGTCAAGCTGCTGCTATGCTGCGTGCTTGGTTCCTCACTCATTAGTATGGGTCTGCCTTATGTGCTCATCTACTGCGGTTACGAAGCATTTATAGCGTTCCGCGTGCTGCAAGGCTGTACGCAGGGAATTGTTTTTCCCGCCGTCTATGGACATCTCGCCAAATGGTGTCCACTGAAAGAACGCAGTCTGCTGGGTGGCGTRTCGCAATCGGGCTTGGATATGGGTATGGCATTGGGYTTCTTATGTAGCGGTTTGCTGGCASTGACATCGCTTGGTTGGATGGCGATATTTTATGTGCCCGGTAAGTGTCTTTGTTCTAATTGCTATGGTTATAATACATATACGATATTATATGTAATTGTTGTGTTGGCTTCCAATAGGTGTAGCTGGTGTGATKTGGTCGGCGTTGTGGCTGGCGTTCGCTGCAGAGTCACCTGAGAAGTGCCATTATATTTCACATAAGGAACGTACACTCATCAGTGAAGTCGGCGTAGCTGCTATGATCACCAAACGCAATGCGCCAATACCTTGGTGTGCCATTTTGACTTCRGTGCCTTATCTAGTCTTAGTCTTAGTCAAGTTAAGTCATGGTTTGAGYATCTTCACGCTGATGCAACAAATACCATTATACATTAACGGTCTCTACGACTATGAGATACATGTGAATGCCATGCTCTCGTCGCTGCCATTTTTCCTCATGTTCGTGACGTCACACTTGGTTTCCTACACCGCTCACTATTTGCTTGTCGTCCGCAAGTGTTCACTGGCTTTGGTGCGCAAGTCCATGAACACCCTTTCGACATGGGTGCCTGCCGTTGCCTTCGTCGCGATGACGCTGCTAAGCAAGGAGCTTGTTTCGGCAAATATTGCTTGCTTGATTGTCGCTGTGACCACTTATGCGGCGGCTGCAGTGGGCAGTTCGCTAAATCACATTGATCTCTCGCCGAATTTTGGTGGCATGTTGGTGGGTATGACAAATATGGTCATGACAGGCATGGGTGTGATCTCCCCAATCGCTGTCGCAGAGATCGTTAAGGATGAGGTGAGTTATCTTTAAGCGAGTTAAAAGTTATTATGTATTAAATATTTAATGTTAATTTTTCTTTTTGGCAGAACGATCGCTCACAGTGGAACATAATTTTTCTGATAATCGCTGCTTTATTGTTTTTGGGAAACCTGCTTTATTTACTTTTTGGGAAAATGGTGGCACAACCATGGGACAAAATCGAAAGCATGGATAATAGGGCTGCAGACAATAATACAGTAGCGTCATTTGAAGTTGACACAATTCGGAATATTGTAAAATAAATTGCAACTTTTTGAATATATAATACTGTTATATGTTAATGTTTTCACTCCTTAATACAAAAACACCTATTTTCTTTCTCTCTCTACTTAACTTAATTTACGTTTAATTAAACTTCATGTTTCTGGCGTTTTGGATTGATCCTTTTACCTTCCTAGCAGCACTGGTCAATACTCTGAATAGTTCTTAAGTCATAATTATAAGATTTCGAAAGCCGACTTTACTTAAAGTTGCGTTCGTCAAAAACGAAATTGTTATTATTTCTTTCGATACATTTTGCGATGAAGTGTGATGAGCTGACTAGTTTTAAGAGTCTTCAAAATTCTATAGAAACTTTCTAATGAATGCCACGTCAAATCGTTTTGCATATTTCGATTTCTTTTCAGAAATATAAGGGTTGGATATCCAAAAAGTAATATTAAAAATATGTACTTATAAAGCAAATATAATCCAAGTTTTCAAGATTTTCAAAAATTTCAAGATTTAATTATTTTTAAAGTGAAACTCTTTCAAGAGCTCGACCAAGACCTATAACTGTATATCAGAACAGGTCGCCTGAAAAATTGATACTTAATCATAATATTAATAATAAGGTTAATATTTCAAAGAAATTGTCTAAAATTGTTAAAAATTTGTTTTTCCACCATTGTACATACATTTGACGTAATAAAATGAAAACAAATTGTGTTCAAATTTCATATATTGAAATTTTCAAAATATTACAACTTTATTACTCTTCCAAGTGTAAAGAAAATTGGAATGTTTTCACTGAACCGTACATTTTTACATGACAGTCACAACTTCTCATATTCTGCATTGAAATATTAAACAAAAAATAAGGATGAGAATCATCTACAATCGTCTAAGAACGTTAAGAGATTGTTGATCATGTGTCTAGGTAAGCGTTGAAGATTGGGATGGCAAGTGAAAGCAGAAAAGCTGACGGCATTAGCTTTTGATAACGAAAAATATTTATGCTTCTAGGCTGCTCCTTTCCAGTGCGTTACACACAAATTTTGCTGTTGTTCACTTCCTTGGTGTTGACCTTCCATCAGCGTGTCAATGTGCCCGAAGTTATTGTTGTACTCACAGCCTCTAACGGCACGCACGCTCATTTCATGCCAGAGGTATGTGTAAAAGAAATTAGTAGTTCTGAGAGAGATCGACGTTGGAAGGGATGGACAGATTCCTGAGTTATGACTTTGCTCTGGAATGACGGTAGATTTTTGTAAAGAAGACAACTTAAGGATGTGCTAATACACTTCGTCAATATCCGCCAAAGAAATACTTCTAGCTCCTGACTTAAGCTTCTTTTGAGCTAAACTATTAATATATTTTTCGTTGTAACAATGCCACTCTCGTGAAGATCTCTCTGTATACTAGAATAACTGTGATTTTCAAATATTTTTYGCAATTCTATTGGTAGGGTTACTCGTTGACGGCACACGAAAAGTCCACTATGCTGGGAAGTATTTTTTGGGGTGCAATTTTGGTACAAATACCCAGCGGCTATATCTGTAGTGCCTATGGTGGCGTCAAGCTCTTGTTCTGTTCGCTCTTCTTCTCCTCACTCATTTGCATTGTGCTGCCGCTTAGTCTTATATTTGGCAATTTCATCACTTTTATTTTGTTACGCACRTTGCAAGGCTTGGCGCAGGGCGTTTTATTCCCCACAATCTATGGACATCTCGCCAAGTGGTGTCCACTCAACGAACGAAGTCTGCTCGGTGGCATCTCGCAATCTGGCTCTGAGTTTGGCGTAGCCTTAGGTTTGATAAATACCGGCTTTTTATCAGTGTCGCCATTATATTGGCCAGCGGCCTTTTATATGCCAGGTATTTAAGTTAGTTAAGGGAATAATTTATAAATATAGATAATTTATTCTACATTTTTATTGCAGGTCTCGCCGGCTTAGTGTGGTGCATTTTTTGGTCAATCTTCAGCGCTGAGACACCATGGGTTTCCAAACGTATAACGGCCGACGAAAAGCAGCTCATACAATYTGCGGGCACTCTTAGCATGCGCGAGAAACGCAGCAAGGCCGCCATACCCTGGTRCGCGATCGCCACTTCAGCGCCTTATTTGGTGTTGCTGTTAAATAAAGTTAGTCACGCMTTTACGATCGCAACCATGGGCCAGCAAATACCCATATATTTGAACGGCATGTACGCATACGAGATTCATATAAATGCTTTAATATCRGCGCTGCCGTTTTTCCTTATGCTAATCAGCACTTATGTGGTCACAATCACCTCGCATTATTTGCTGAAAGTACGAAAAGTGCGTCTGTCGCTAGTGCGCAAGTCATTAAATACGATTTCGAACTGGGTGCCCGCCACTGCATTGGCGACTATGAGCTTGCTGTCCAAGGACAATGCTGTGGGTAATATTTCCTGTATCGTTATTACAGTTGTCGCATTTTCGACTTTTACGCTCGGTAGTTCATTGAATCACATTGACTTGGCGCCGAATTTTGCTCCGCTCCTCTCTGGTATTACCGGCACATTTATAATGATAGCGGCCATTTTTTCGCCCATAGTTGTGGCAGAAGTCGTAAGGAATGAGGTGAGTAATTTAAGTAATTGAATATGTACTGATAATAACCATAGACAGGTTGATTATTTTTCCAACCGGTTCACACACAAGTTTAGGTTTAGTGAGGATCTGCCGTAGATGCCAGAACAGAATGACAGTTAGGTTGTAATTTTCCAAGTTTCTGAAGATTTTTTTGAAGAAAAATAAATACCTATAAATTGAAATAGATGAATTAAGGTTGTGGGGTCATTCTTTATGAAAATCCGAAAGAATCTGTAACGTAATTAGAATTAAACTCAATTTCTGTTTACACCTTCGCAGTTGCAGTATTCCAAATGCATACAGGCTCTATGAACTTGGTCTTTTCATTGGATGCGTGGRCATCTTCAAWGCTTTCTCGAATGCTGCTAGTGCTTTCTCATCTCGGTTCTTCGACGTAGATTTACGCAGTATCTTATTATAGGATGGGAGTGATAAAAGACTTTTAGAGAATAATTTTTGTTGGAAAAGAGACGAATTGACTACCGATTGCGTTACCGGCGTTATTCTGCATTTAATATCCATTGAATTGAATTGTTGGCATTATTTTTGCAGGTTTTGAAATAGGCAAAGTATTACTTTTTCAGCATTATATTTATGAAGTATTTTGGAGACCTATTCCCCCTGTCTATAACATTGGTATCGATATATGTATGTATNTTTACGATCGCAACCATGGGCCAGCAAATACCCATATATTTGAACGGCATGTACGCATACGAGATTCATATAAATGCTTTAATATCAGCGCTGCCGTTTTTCCTTATGCTAATCAGCACTTATGTGGTCACAATCACCTCGCATTATTTGCTGAAAGTACGAAAAGTGCGTCTGTCGCTAGTGCGCAAGTCATTAAATACGATTTCGAACTGGGTGCCCGCCACTGCATTGGCGACTATGAGCTTGCTGTCCAAGGACAATGCTGTGGGTAATATTTCCTGTATCGTTATTACAGTTGTCGCATTTTCGACTTTTACGCTCGGTAGTTCATTGAATCACATTGACTTGGCGCCGAATTTTGCTCCGCTCCTCTCTGGTATTACCGGCACATTTATAATGATAGCGGCCATTTTTTCGCCCATAGTTGTGGCAGAAGTCGTAAGGAATGAGGTGAGTAATTTAAGTAATTGAATATGTACTGATAATAACCATAGACAGGTTGATTATTTTTCCAACCGGTTCACACACAAGTTTAGGTTTAGTGAGGATCTGCCGTAGATGCCAGAACAGAATGACAGTTAGGTTGTAATTTTCCAAGTTTCTGAAGATTTTTTTGAAGAAAAATAAATACCTATAAATTGAAATAGATGAATTAAGGTTGTGGGGTCATTCTTTATGAAAATCCGAAAGAATCTGTAACGTAATTAGAATTAAACTCAATTTCTGTTTACACCTTCGCAGTTGCAGTATTCCAAATGCATACAGGCTCTATGAACTTGGTCTTTTCATTGGATGCGTGGRCATCTTCAAWGCTTTCTCGAATGCTGCTAGTGCTTTCTCATCTCGGTTCTTCGACGTAGATTTACGCAGTATCTTATTATAGGATGGGAGTGATAAAAGACTTTTAGAGAATAATTTTTGTTGGAAAAGAGACGAATTGACTACCGATTGCGTTACCGGCGTTATTTCGCATTTAATATCCATTGAATTGAATTGTTGGCATTATTTTTGCAGGTTTTGAAATAGGCAAAGTATTACTTTTTCAGCATTATATTTATGAAGTATTTTGGAGACCTATTCCCCCTGTCTATAACATTGGTATCGATATATGTATGTAT